AAATCATTTGGATTGGAAAAGAAGTGAAATGGGGTACTCTTTACTGTCTCTGTAAAATGAGATGATGAGTTAGCTCAAGTGAAGATGCAACTTGGATTTTTTTTATTCCACCAGAGAAGGAAGAGAGATTTAGATTAAATTAATTGCTCATGGAAGATGAGTAAGTAAACAGTTTTAAGCTTCTTGAGAGCAGAGACCATATGCTATTCTTTATAAGCTTCTAGCATTGATGCTGTTGCATGTACAGTCAGCTCTCCCTGTCTGTGGATTCTGCCTCTGTGGATTCAACCAACAGTATCAAAAATATTCGAGGAAAAAAACAACTATGTCTGTACTGAACATGGACAGACTTTGATTCTTGTCATTATTTCCTAAATAATACAGTATAACAACTATTTACATAGCATGTATATTATATTAGGTGTTATAAATAATCTAGAGATGATTTAAAATATTCTGGAGGGCCTGGTACAGTGGCTCAGGCCTGTAATCCCGCCATTTTGGGAGGCTGAGGCAGGAGGATTGCTTGAGGCCAGGAGTTTGAGAACAGCCTGGGCATGAGAGTGAGACCCGCCCCTGTCTCTACAAAAAATGGAAAAAAAACAAAATTAGCCAGGCGTGGTGGTGCGTGCCTGTAGTTCCAGCTACTCAGGAGGCTGAGGCAGGAAGATCACTTGAGCCCAGGAGTTCAGGGCTGCAATGAGCTATGATTGTGACACCACACTTCAGCCTGGGTGACAGAGCAAGACCCTGTCTCGTAAAAAAAAAAAAAAAAAAAAAAAAAAGCATTTGGGAGGATGTGCATTGGTCATAGGCAACTACTACACCCTTTTATATCAGGAACTTGAGCATCCTCAGACTTTGGTATCCTGAACGTGTCCTGGAACAAATGCCTCTCGGATACGGAGAAAGACTGTAGAAGGAGCTATCCTCCACAAGAACAGGGTACTAGCTTTCCATAGCCTCCCAATACATTTTTTAGCATGACATTCATTGCCATCCACAGCCTGGTCCCCAAACTTTTGGGGCACCCACCACATCCTTCTCACTTTTGAGACTACTCATAGTTCCCTGAACTTGCCATTTATCTTCATGAATTTGTACATGCTGTTCCCTCCCCTTCACTTGCCTTCACCCTCCCCTGGTCTCCACCTATCAACTGTTACTCAGGCTTGCACACCAGCTCGTTTCTCCCTGTAGCTTTCCCTGACATCCAGTTAGAGCTAACTCTCCCTGTGGCAGCTCCGTTGGAGCTCGTACCCTGGCCTGCCCTGGCCTTCCACTTACCGACCACATCAATCTTTATCCTGCCCTCCACACCGTTGGAAAGTGCCAAGATTTGGTGGAGCTTGGGGGCTCCACCATTAAATGGCTCTATGACTTTGGGTAAGTTACTTGACTTGTCTGAACGTCAATTTAGAAGATTTTCTTTACCTATTTCACAGGATTAATTAAGAGTTAAGATTAAGTGAGAATTGAGATACTGTTTGAGAACTTGTTTGTAAACTCAACAGTAATTTCATTAATTTCTCCACTGCAGGGACATCTGTGAAGGCAGGCAGAGGTGTCTATACTTGGCTGTCACCCAGTAAGTGTCTGCTGTTCTTTGTGTTCTGCACCAGCACGGTCACAGAGCTGTGCAGAGCGTAGACTTTCAGTAATTCCCACTGTTGAGTTGGAATCACGTGGGGAGCTGGTAGAGGGCAGAGGCATGACTCCTGCTCTTTGGAGAGCACCTAAAAGGCTGCGGCTCTGAGGCAGTAAACTCCTTGTTCCAGACCTAGGATACAGAGGAAAGGTGGTTGACACTGTGCTATGGATGGGGGAAGGGATGTTCGTGAACAAGAGGAGGGCCCTTAGCAAAGTTTTGCCTGAGGGCTAAAATTTAAGCTTTTATTTGGCTGGCAAAGAATTAATAACTTCCCAGGTCTGGCATTATTTTCATATTACCAAATTCTGCCCTTCACACTCATTCTAAACACCCACAGATTTGTGTATCTGTATCTATGCCTACGCATTTCTATTATCTTTTTAAAACCTCTTCAGCATGCCTGTGTTATATTGGTTGCACCACAATTTTACATAACTTTGGACACAAAGAAATCTAAAATGAGATAGCAGAACACAAGCAGCAACAATTTAGCCAAGCCTATTTATAATTCTACAATTCAGTAGCTTATTGTCTTCACTAGAAGGTCATGGATTATCTTGTGTATTTGTATAATGCAAAGAGCCTTTCCGAGGACAATGGAATAATATTTTGAGTTCTTCTGAGCAAAGGTGCAATGTAAATGCAAAATGGAACATAATTATCACTGGGCAGAGAACAGTCTTCAAAATTTTCCTTATTAGGTGACCTTCAACTAAAATGGTCTTATTCCAGACAGGGAATGTAAAACAGGGAATGAGGTGAGGGGAGACAGAGACAGAGCCCTTCAACCAAGAAAGGGCTCTCTTTTCCCTTGAAAGTGCTGCATTTTAACTCTAGGAGAGTGAAGGGGAGTTATGGCAGGTCCCATTGGCTGCTTCCCAACAGTCATTCTTTCTTCTAGTTCCCGATTTTGAATGCGGTAGCGATGTGTTCAGCTCAGGGAGGAACCATGGTTGTCTCAGCTAGTCATGGCAATCCCCGTCTTCTTTGCTAGATTCCTGGATAATCTCTCTCCCAGTTTCTCTGCTCTGGCCAGTGTGATGTAAGGGAAAGTCCACTGAGTTCTTGTCAGAACTGTTTTATTTCGTAATAAAAGAGACAAAGCAAGAGGCAAAGCAAGAGAGTCCTTCCCTCCCTCCCTGTTTGGGCGAGGACTTGATGCTGCAGGCGCCATCTTGAATTCAGGAAGGTCGAGAGAATGTGAGAGACAGCAGCCCAGACGCCCATCATGGAGCAGCACCATGATGCCTGGCCCGTGTTCCCTACACAGTCATTGTCTTTATGATGCCTTTTCCTCCGTCAGGGAGGAAGTTCCCCTGCTTCAATTCTTTCCAGTTAAACTGCAGTTTCATGGAAGGAGATTGCTTTGTGAACAGCCAAAAGTTTGTACAGCTTAAATATGGCAGTTCATCTCAGGATGTTTCCTGGGACACTTCCTCCTGAGAGCAGGCTGCTCTCAAAACCAAGGCATTGGGACAATGGTCATAAGCACAACTCCTGTCCTTTCCAGTTCATACAGTGAAAGCACCATCCATACATTTATTCATTCAGAAAGTCAGCCAGTGAGCAAACACTTATTAAGGGCCTTGCCCTTGCCACTACGTGCTGGATACTAGAGACACAAGCTAGAGTGCCTGCCCTCCTGGAGACAGACAGGAAACAAATATTCCACCAGAAAGTAATGACAGTTGAGGTCAGCACCGCCAAGGGTTCCCTGAGAGTGAGTAACTGCAAAGGAGTGGTGGGGATGATGGCAGTGATTGGAGACAGCTTCCCCAAGGAAGGGACAGGTAACTGAGTCACCATCTATTCTAGTCTACTTCAAGATAATTGAAGATTCTTCATTTGACAAATGAGGAGAGCAGTAGGGATAGGGAGGAGGGGACACCAAGAAATGTAGGCAGATGAAGTGATGGAACTTGGTGATTAACCAGTGTGGAAGAGACAGAGTGGCTTGAGTCAAGGACGGCTCCCAGGCTTGGGCTGCTGGGTGGATGGAGGCACGTTCGTTCCTTAGTGTGGTCAGTTGCAAACATGGACTGCATCCTCTACCACTCTGCATCTCAGCAGTTTCAAATGTGACTTCGCTGCTCTTTCCACAAAGGAGTAGAATGTACTTCCGTACCCCTTGAATTTGGGCTGGCCTCACGACTTGCTTTGGCCAACAGAATGCAGCAAAAGCGATGGGTTCCACCTTGGAGCCCAGGTCGCAAGAGCCTTGTCCACTTCCACTCATTCTCGTGGAACTCTGTTCAGCCACCATGGGAGCAAGCCTTGGCCCACCTGCTGGATGATGAGACACGGGACTCCGTCACTGCCCTCCCCCATGGCAGCCAGCAGCCAGCTGCCAGACCAAGTGAGGCCACCCTGGAGCAGCCAACCTCCTCCCACCCACCAGAACCTGGAAGCTCTCTGCAGATGCACCAAAGAGCTCAGCCACTGACCTGTAGGCTCATGAGCAACTATAAGTGGTTGTTGTTCTAAGCCATGAAGTTTTGTGTGGTTTGACATGCAGCAAAAGCCTCTTCCTCCCACTGCCCGACCCCGACCCTAAACTCCACCACACACCTGGAAGTAAGTCTTGAGCAGTGAAGCAAAAGCATGACTCAAGCACACAGGGCAGTATTAACGCTGGAGAGTCAGTCCAGAGCCGGAGCTTGCAGACAGTGGAACGCTTGCGGAGTGTCCAGGAACGAGTCAATTCAGTTCAGCTGGTGCGGGAGGGGAAGGGGCTGCTTTGGGTGCTGAGCCATCAGCAGTTACTGCCCTCAAGGGGACTTCACTTATCCTTGGCCAGGTCACAGTGACTGCAGTTACCTCTCTGATACTCATTCAGGGCTCTTGCTCCCTCCCTCCTTTTTTCCATGTTAATGTCACCTCTCAGCACCTTTTGAAAATAATAAAAAGGGCAACATTCAACAGGAATCTACCCCTCTCCTTGTAAAAACATACAACTGATGACACTTGTTCCTGTCTTTCCCCCACCAGTTCATAACTCGGATCTCAGGTTCAACCGCAAGGCCGGTGACCCAAGGGGCCGCTGCGGGGTGGAGGCGGCAGCAGGGCTAGGCCTGCCCAAGGGGCCGCCGTGCGCTCCAGGCACGGTGGCGGCATTCCCGGTCCGGGGCCCCGCAGCCGCAGGTCGCTAGCAAAGCGCGTCAGGCAGTGATGCGGGCGCACGCCCGGGTGACAGCCCCTCCATTCCGCCGCTCCCGCCTGCCTCCCCCGCCGCTCGGGGAAGGGGCGGGGGAGAGGAGGAGCTGGAGGCCGTCACAGTCCCCGCCGCTGCCCGAGCCCTTTAAAAGCAGCTGGCCTGGACAGCCCCGCTGGCAGCCGCCGCCGTCCCGGCCCCCAGGTCCCGCGCCCTCTGCTCGCGAGCGGACCCGGGTGCGGGCGAGGCCCGCGCTCCATGCGGCCGCTCAGCATGTCCGGGCACTTTCTGCTCGCGCCCATCCCCGAGTCCTCCCCGGACGGCCTCCTGCCCAAGGACATCAAACTGGCCGTGCTGGGCGCCGGCCGCGTGGGCAAGAGCGGTGAGTGCGGCGGGAACGCGCGGGCGCTTCCCACCAGGGCGGCGGTGGCCGGAGGGTGGAGGACAGGTGGCACCTCGCTTTCTCGCGCTCGGAGGGTCCCCGTCAGTCCTGGCCTGCGTCCCTCGGCTGCTTTCCCGGGGCACTGGCTGCGGGCCCTGGCCGGGGTTGGCGCCTGCTGGAGAATGGGGTTGGGAGGGAGTGTCCCCCTAGCCTTGCCTTCTCGGGAGGGGAGCCCTGGGGGACGCGCGGCTCTGCGGCGCGTCACTCCTCCAGTGCCCGGGGCTGTCCGGCTTTCACCGTCTTGTCCTACTCCTTCCTTTGATTTTCCTGTTTCCTTTGCAGCGATGATCGTGCGCTTCCTGACCAAGAGATTCATTGGCGACTACGAACCGAACACAGGTTAGAATAATTTCATGCTCCCTGCTTTTGTGCCTGCATTTTTAATTTTTCTTTTCCTGATTGGAATGTGAGAATTTAAAAAGCAAACTCTCCATTCTCCAGGCAAACTGTATTCACGGCTCGTCTATGTAGAGGGGGACCAGTTATCGCTGCAGATCCAGGACACTCCCGGGGGCATCCAGGTACGGACTGCAGGAGGAAACGGCTCACCCCGCCCAGACCACCTCGGGGGACCCAGCGTGCGGGGCGTCCACGCTGGGCGCCGGCGCCTGAGCAAGCCTGAAGGCGCTGTGATGTGTTTCGATGTAGGAGTGGGCTGTCCACAGGTGGGGCCAGTGTTTGGGGGGTTCAAAACCCTCTAAAGGGGAGGGGGTGGTTAGAAGCCACTTCCTCTGTCAGCCACCTGACCTTAACTCCTCTTCGCCCCTGTAGTGGGCCATCACTACTTAGGTGGGTCTCACCACTCCTTTCAGAGCGCACTCCTTAGATCCATTAAGAAAAAAAAGAAAAAAAGAAGGCTGGGGGCGGTGGCTCACACCTGTAATCCTAGCTCTCTGGGAGGCCCAGGCGGGAGGATGGCTTGAGCTCAGGAGTTGGAGACCAGCCTGAGCAAGGAGGCAGACCCAGTCTCTAAAAAACAAACAAACAAACATCAAAAAAACAAAGTAGGTAGGATTCTGGTGGGACAGGGTCTTCTCTGGCAAGGACTGCCGAAGTGCTTCTGTTACTGGCTGTTCCCTCCAGTTAGGAATTGCAATCAGGAATGTAACCTGATTAATAGTTACTAATTACTACTCCCTTCTAGGGAGGAAAGGTCTTGTGGAAGAATCCAGAGAAAAGAATTTGTTTCTGTAACATTCTCAAGAAGTGCATGTTAAAATATTTTTATGGTTTGGGGAATAGATATTTATCTTGGCTGACTTTCAAAGTTTTGTTTATTATGAGTTAGTTTCCTAAAAGTTGAGCCATTCTGGTTTGAGGACATTCTTCACTCAGGCACAGTTCACCAGAGACTGCCTGTCAAGCCAGGGGTTTAAAAATAATGCATTGATAACAGCTAATAAAACAATCCAGGCAGCCCGGGAGTTTGCCTGAGAATTTGCTCTTTCCGCATCAAAAGCCTCCTTCTGCAGGAGCTAGGCAGAACCTGGACAGTATATTTAGTGATTTCTTTTGCAAGCATGTCTTCAAGGGTTACTTTGATGTCATTTTGGGCTTGTCTCATGGAGAGTTTCCTTGACTGGATCTCATTTTGATCTTTTCCCAGATCCAAGATAGCCTTTCCAAGGTCTCCGATTCCCTGTCCAAATGTGTGCAGTGGGCGGAAGGCTTCCTGCTAGTCTATTCCATCACAGACTATGACAGCTACCAGTCCATCCGGCCCCTGTACCAGCACATCCGCAAGGTCCACCCTGACTCGAAAGCCCCTGTCATCATCGTGGGCAACAAGGGGGACCTTCTGCATGCCCGGCAGGTGCAGACACACGATGGCATTCAGCTAGCCAACGAGCTGGGCAGCCTGTTCCTTGAAATTTCCACTAGTGAAAACTACGAAGACGTCTGTGCTGTGTTTCAGCATCTCTGCAAAGAAGTGAGCAAGCTGCACAGCCTCGGCGGGGAGAGGAGAAGAGCCTCCATCATCCCGCGGCCGCGCTCCCCCAACATGCAGGACCTGAAGCGGCGCTTCAAGCAGGCTCTGTCTTCCAAAGCCAAAGCCCCCTCTGCGCTGGGGTGAACCATCTCAGACAGACTCCGCTCCTTTTTATTACGCATTTGTGCAGCTGAAAAGACTGGGCTTCTCCTTTTTTAATCACACGTTCAGAGTTTATTTTTATAAAGACTATTGATTTTCAAGTGTATGTGTATTTCTGAAACTTCAAACAGTGATTGCTAGAAGCTGGATAGAGCTTTTTGTTTTTTAAATAAAAAGGACTTTTTTTTTTTTTTTTTTTTTACCGTAAGTGCTAAGCCACTTTTCCATTAAAGGCAAAATGGCAACATTGCTCTGTTTTCTAACTGTCTTTTTATAGAAATCATACTTGCACCAGAGCCCAGAACCACTCGATGCTTGCCCTCGGTCTGAACTCTGATTGGTGTCTTGCGCGGGGAGGGGTTTGTGTAGCAGGAATCAGCTGTGGGAGAAAGAAAAGTATGTGGAGGAGGAAAGGGAGTTGAATAAACTGCAGGATATCTTTAATTAGGGCACTTTGCCACAGTCATGAAATCCATACTGTGTGATTTTCAAGTGAAGCAGTACGGCCTGGGAGCCCATACTAAAAAGTTACAAATCCTGAGTAATGTCATTATTTATTGGTGCAAATGTAAGTTTGTCCTCTTTACTTATATTTAAAAAAAACAAAAAATCCTTTCCAGTATTCCTTATGTCAGTTAATGGGCCCTACCACCAAGAGTTGCCTCAAAATTCTCCTTTCCTTCTAACAGGGCACCAGATCTGTCGGCTCGCTCTCTCTCTCTCTCTTTTTTTTTTTTAAGATACGGTCTCGTTCTGTTACCCAGGCTCTGTTATCAGCCTAGCTCACTGCAACCCCAAACTCCTGGCTCAAGCGATCCTCCTGCCTCAGCCTCCCGAGTAGCCTGGACTACAGGCGGTGCCACCACGCCTGGCTGATTTCTGGTAGAAACGGTCTCGCTTTTGCTCAGGCTTGCGGCTCTCCGTTTTCCTCTAAAGCCTCACCCTCCCTTCACCCGGGCCTTTATCGCTCTGGCCTAGACTAGCAGGCAAGAGTCTAGGCAAGACTCAGGTCTCTTGGCCTCAGGAATGACGCCCTCTAATTCTCTCTTCACATCAGAACAAACTTACTAAAACCACCCCTAATCATGTTATTTGCATGACTGAGAAAACTCAGCTGGTTTCCTTTTACCTATGGATAAAATAGAAACGGGACACGGTATCGAGACTATTTACCATCTCTCCAGCCTCCCAAAGCACACGCACACGTGTGCACACACCCCAGCGGACAGGCTGTTCCAACAGACCTTCTGTCTTTCTCGGTGTACTCCAGGCTCTTTCACGCCCCCCTGCCTTGCACGAACCATCCCTCCGCCTCCAAGAGATTAAACGTCCCATGGGGGGAAAGTTAGATCATCATCTGAAAGCTAAAGAACAAGACAAGAGATGTCCCCAGGCAGCCTGTGGTCAAGTTTCAAGGGAGTGAATGGTAAGAAAACAAAGTACCCTTGAGCTCCTCAGCGGAGCACAGGGTGGGGACCAAAGGGGTCCACAAATGAGTCCCAGGGCAGTGTTAAAGGGACTCACAGCCTCTGTGGGCTCCAGCAGGCTGATGGGCTGAGCAGATAGCGCTTCACCCTGTATTTTTCCTGTCCTCAGCGTCACAAATAACTGACCTCCAAGGCTTCACAGCCCCCTTGTCCTCTGGTCCCCAGCACTGGGCCAGACCGGGAGCTGGCTCGCTAGTCTCGCAGGGACCTCGCTGCCCGAGGTCTCTCTTTCCCAGGCCTCCTGCTGATTGGCGGTGGAGCCTCCTGAGGATCGTAGTACTCAGGGAGCATCTGGAAGGCTCCGCTATGGTAGCCCAGGAGATGGAAGAGCCCGTGGAGTGATCAGAAGGCGGTTAGGGCAGGAAGTTGGCTTTGCATGTAGGGGAGAGACGGGAAGATGTGGGCTCAGCTGGGCGCTGAGGAAGCACTCCCAGGGGAGGCCGAGCTCTTAGCCAGCCTCCCTGTCCCTCAAAAATGGGGAGGGCATAATTGGGAAAGTCTTGGGTGTCACGATTTAGCTGGTCAGGGCAGAACCCCCAAAACATTGGACAGAACATTGGGCAGAACGTTGAAAACTTGGATGAGTGTGGAGAGGACAGCGCCTCTACATTTCATCCGATAGTTTTGCCTTACCTCTGAGATGTCGAGACCGGGGAGAATTTACCTCCATCCTCATGAGGGGGCTGGGACTGCAACTTCCCCCGGTCTCCCTCCATCCCCTCGGCTGTGAGATCTGTCTCTGGAAGCCCCAGGCCTCCTAGTCAAGGCTCTGCTGCCGATTCTGCTCAATTATAAACTTTGCAGAATGATTCCAGTAATGCGGCACTCGGTGTGGTTGTGGAGACATGGGCGCGGTCCAAATGGCTGATTGTACACCCTGCAAACATTCTGCACTTCACATGCAACTCAGGAGAAGCACTCAGATAATGGAAAAGTAAGTCAATTATAATAGAAGAAAATAAATTTGTTTTGCTTGTGCTGAGGTAATGGAAGTTCTAAAGTGTATTAATATCTGTTTAGAGAAATGGATTACAATACTAAGTAGCCATGGAAGGCGGCAATGAGCAACAGAGCACGTAGGAAAGACAAGGTGACTGTTTCATCATAAATTTTGGGCTCAAGATCCTTTTCTGCTCCTTGTATATGTTGCAATTTCAACTTCTCATTATGCAAAGTTACCAATTTAAATTTACAATACAAAGATATTCTGTGTGATTAATAAGCTGTTCTTACTGTTTAATCTCTCTCCAAAAGGTGGTATATTTTGAAAGATGTTAAAATTAATCTCAAGCTACAATGACACTCAATAAGAAAAATGTGATGTAAAAAAAGGAGATTATTTCCCAAACACCATTAAATTAGCTTGGGGTCTAGGAAAAAATCAATCTATGTAAGTGATGATTTGTTACAATCAAGGAACGGTTTTCAGCATAACAGGATAGAAACGTGCCCGTCCTGGATAAACCGTCTGGTCACCTCTCACACCTGGATCTCCTCACCGCTTCTGCCCCACAGAGCATCGGCTCCGTTAGGGCTGGGGTGAGTCCTCCGTCATCTTCAGCCCCACAGCACCTGGTGGAGTGAGTGTCTGATACACAGCAAGATCCTCAAAAACCCCGGCTAAGCTGAACCATTAGAAAAACTAAAGGGTCCCTGAAGTTATTTTTGCATTGCTCCCGAGTACCGGGTGTAGAGCCATATTTCACCAAACAACTCTTTTTCCCTTCCTTAGCTGGAAAGTGAACGTCCTCCAGAGAAGGGCCCCGGGAACAAAACAGGTGCTTCCAATTCTCCTCGTATCTTTAGAAAAACCACAGTAGTGATTTTTATGATTTGAAATCACGTTTATTGAGAACCTGCTTCATGCAAAGCTCTGAGCTGAAGGTCGCTGTGACCAAGGCAGCCTTCCTTTCCCAGGAGCTCAGTCCGTGGGCGCGCTGGGGCCAGCCCTGGGGGTGCGACTCCGGGGAGAGACATGGAGGGAGACTCTGACCCCATCTGAGGGTGTTGACGGGAGCAGTGGAGGGTGCACGTCACAGAGCTGGGTGGGGAATAGAGGCAAACACCTCCCAGGGTGTGAAAGTACCCGTGCTGAGAAAAGGACGTTTCTTACTTTACAAGTTGTAAAGCTTTATTTTCCTGGAGGCATGGTGCTCAGTTGAAGATTAATGAGTTAAAATCGTAAAATATGTACTGCCATTTCTTATCTGCATTTTCTATTTAAATTAGAAGAACATTGTTAACTGCAAGGTTTACTCCTATAACCAGATTTTGCTAGAAATATTAACATTGATTTGTAACTCTGGGAAAACAAGGGCATTTCAGGAGCTCCCGCCAATAAACAGACAGTTACTAACCAGCTTTGTGGAGGCCAGTTTCCAGCGTGAGGTCTGGGTTCAAATCCCAACTTTGCATTGATGGACCTGTGACTTTGGGCAAGGTATAATGTGTTTCCTTAACTTAAAATGGAAATAATACCACTCATCAGGCAGAATTTTGTGGAACCTAACACATATAAGGTGTTGAGTAAGTTGCAGTTATTTTTTATTTTTTTAAAGTATATTGGGCCTGTAGTCCCAGCTACTCAGGAGGCTGAGGCAGGAGGATTGCTTGAGCCCTGGAGTTCAAGCCACCCTGGCCATATCAAGACCCCATTTCTAAAAAATAAAAATAAAGTACATGGGTACATTATGAAGTTGTTTTGGGGAAATGAATGCTTCTTGGGCTTACTTGTATATTCTCAAAGATACAGTCCTTGCTGTGGAAGATGTGATTTTCTCATTTCCCACTTGGGAAAGAGAAGGTTTGCAGGAGAGCAGTTATTTTTCCAATAATAATACCTAACAATTATTGATCCTTTATCAATAAAAAATAAAGTGCCTGGCATTAAAGTATGCCTGGCACTTCAATTTTCTCAATAATCCATCGAGGCAGAACTATTATCACTCCCATATTTCAGATGAGGAAACTGAGGCCCAGAGAGGTCAAGTGATGGCCCAAAGTCACAAAAACCAAGAAACCAGCAGGTCTGGCTCCAGGAAGGGAAAAGAACCTCCTTCAGCTCAGGGCTGTCTCTTCTGGCCGCGCCTCTGTGCCCCAATATCTGTGGGAACTTGTTAAAAATGCGGATTCCGGGGTCCAATCCCGGGGATTCTGTTGCTATGTTCCTGGGCTGTGGGGGAGAGATCTGAATTTTAACGAGCTTCCTGGGTGGCACTGACGCCTGATGTCTCAGGTTTGGGGTGGTGAGCAAGAGCCCAGTCTGTACTCACCCTGGCTGCTTGTTCATCCGGGGGCAGCCAGTCTTGGGGGACAGCAAGAGCCCTGATGGGAAGAAGGTGGGGAGTAGCCTGGTGTGTTGCTGTGAGGCCGGGTGCTGGGGGGTTGGCCTCGCCGAGCTGCATCCTGGCCTCCCCAGCTCCGCTCTGCAGAGCCACGTCCTCCTCTACGACCAGGTGACCCTGAGTCACCTCTGTGAAAGCCGTCACAGGGCGGTTGGGAGCAGTGGGCAGGAGATGGGTGTGTTGGGCATTATCTAAGTCAGGGACACCCTCCCACTGGCCACCTTCTCTCCTCAGACTCTTCTCTGACCTGAGGCAGCCCTCAGTGATTCATGGCTCTTTTGTCTGGAAGGCAGCAGGTTAGCACCCCGTGGGGAGGAGGAGGGTGACGGAATGTCA